TTGCTGGGACGATATCTGTGGCCCTCTATGGGCTGTCGCGCCACTGAGTTTAGTTTATAAAGGGATTACACCAAGTGTCTGGACGCAATGCAACATAAAAGAAAATTTTTTTCATGCTTTAAAATCCCTGAGTTTTATTGTGATAATAATAATAGTTAAAGAAACAAAAAACAACCCCAAAGTAAAAAAAAAAATCAAAACAACATAATTGTTAAAATATTTTAACGTCATACATTTAATGTAATATTTAAATATAATAATCATTTCAAGGTTCAATGTTTTAAATCACCTTTTTTAAAAAAATCATTGAATTAAAAATTTACAAAGCATTTTTACATGAAATTAAGTTTTTTTTTTTTTTTTTTTTTTTTATNTAATATTTAAATATAATAATCATTTCAAGGTTCAATGTTTTAAATCAACTTTTTTTAAAAAATCATCGAATTAAAAATTTACAAAGCATTTTTACATGAAATTAAGTTTTTTTTTTTTTTTTAAAGTGATTTTTATATTTTTAAAGTTGATTGTAAATACACTACATTACCAAGTTTCAATCAACAAAAATACAATAGTTTACAATTTGCAAGAAATTACAACATTTATGAAAACAATGATTAATGAAAAGAGAAGGAAAAATTATTAAAATAAAATATTTTTAAAAATTTTTTTGTTAAAAAGCCAAAAAACAAAATAATGAAAAGATATAATCTCATCATCAGCTCACACGATTATATCCGCAAAATGGAGCACTTTTTTATATTGTATTAATAGAGCCAAAGCAAAATATATCATTACAGTACAACACTTAAAAAAATTGAAACAAAAACAGTAAACATTAAGTAAATAATAAACTATATTCGAAAAAGGCTATCTGTAATAATATTGTATTAAATATAATGGAGTTTGAAAAACCATGGAGAAATGGTTTCCCGTAGAATGGATTATAATTCCTGTAGTTCGTAGTGAGAGGTGAAATTGCAAAGGAACTACGAGCAATCAATATTAGTTTCAGTCTATGTACTAAGAATGAATAAAATAAATAAATAAAAAAACTTACTGCATTTCCTTTAAGTCCTTTGGCAAAGTATGCACTTCAGGAACCTGAAAAGTAAGAATGTAGAATTAAAAAGACAAATATAGATTTTTTTTTTTTTTTAAATACCATCAAGTGGAGTGGCTAATTTAAATCTCTTGATTTTTGGAGGGGGAAATTGTTTATTTAAATCTAATTTTTCTTTATCTAGTCATGCTAAGGATGACAAGTTTCTTCCACAGTGGATAAAACCAATAAACCTCTTAGAAAAGAGAAGGCCTCAGCACGGGTTGCCATAAACAAGAAATTTGATCCTTTAGCAGTTCAAACGTAATGACATCTTTTGTATTTACCACCACTGTGCAGCTCAGTAGCCCAAACATAGTGACATCTTTCTTATTTTTTATCCACTTCCCAGTTAATGTGCATTATGTCGCACTGAACGTCACAAATTGATCCATGGTGAGGCCTTCTTTCTTCTAGGTGTTGATAATACCCTACCAGAAAAAATAATAAAGAAGAATTATATAAAGAACTTAATAATATCATAATCAAATTTTATAAATATATTTAAATAAACAAATCACATAGGCACTGATCATTAACACAACTGCAAATCACATATTATAATGATAATTACTAATTAGCCTCTATAATCAATTGTTGTTCAGTAAGAATATTAAAAAAAAGCTTTCAGGATAATTTGATTTAACTATCTATTGATAGGTATATTCAATACAGATGTTTTTTTTTTGCTTTGCCCAATCATAAAATTATTATTTTGTTATAATTTTATTTGATTCATAATCATACACAATAATTTTTAATTATGACTCTACATTAAGAAAATCTGCAGGGCTATTGCTAAATATTTAGTATAATATGTAAGTCTGCATTTTTAACAGCAAATAGCATTGCAAAAGATGAAAGAAAAGACCAACTATTTCAATATTATAATTGCTAAATGCATATCATGCAAAATAACTCAACAGCTAAGAAAAAAATGGGCCATCCATAAAATTTTACTTAATCTTAAATTTTAAAGTTCAAATGACCAAACTTTATGGATGATCCCTATTAAGAAATCAAACCTCTTGGAAATAGAATGCAATTAAAATATAAAATTGAAAAAAAAAGAAAACCATCTCCCTTTTTTTTCAATACAAGTGAACTAAGTCAATCTGCTAGTTGTTTTAAAATGGAAAATCATAATTAATGAATTATTCATTATTAAATATTAAGAACATTGTAAAATGAGCTGCCTTTGTATTTTTATCATTTTCATAAGAGGAAAACTACTTATCATTAGATTATAATTTTGAAAAAAAAACTTTTTTTTTTCTCATTTTGTAAGTTGTTTGATTTTGATTTACATCTAATATAACTAGGTTTACAAGAAGGTTTAAACCAAATGGCTTGGAAAAAAAAAAACTTTTTTTTTTCTCATTTTGTAAGTTGTTTGATTTTGATTTACATCTAATATAACTAGGTTTACAAGAAGGTTTAAACCAAATGGCTTGGAAAAAAAAAAACTTTTTTTTTTCTCATTTTGTAAGTTGTTTGATTTTGATTTACATCTAATATAACTAGGTTTACAAGAAGGTTTAAACCAAATGGCTTGGAAAAAAAAAAAAATTTTTTTTTCTCATTTTGTAAGTTGTTTGATTTTGATTTACATCTAATATAACTAGGTTTACAAGAAGGTTTAAACCAAATGGCTTGGAAAAAAAAAAAAATTTTTTTTTCTCATTTTGTAAGTTGTTTGATTTTGATTTACATCTAATATAACTAGGTTTACAAGAAGGTTTAAACCAAATGGCTTGGAAAAAAAAAAAAACTAAGCCTGTTTTAGTTTTTTTTAATTAATTTAAAAAGATTATACTTAAATTAAAAATTATTTTTAAATTAAAAATTATTTTCAAAAGTTTAATTTTTTATTATTTACAGGGTATCTGCTATATTTTAGATTTTCAAATTCATCACTTTCCATGACTAACTAAAAGAATTTGTCATGACTTAACGAAGTTACCATTTTCTCCAACAAAAACACAACAATAAATTTAAAAAACCATTATAATAACATTCATTGAAATGATAGGTATAACCAAAACTGTTATACTCTGCATCTTCATATTTATAGATTTTAAATTTAAAAAACAGAGTAAAGAAAGAATTGAAGCAATAAAATAGCTGAAAAAAATACAAAAGCAAATATTTTTTTTCTGCAGAATTACATTTTAAAGATACTTTTATTGTTCATCGGAAAGGAAAGAAATACTCTTGAATTTTCTGTTCTCATTTCAGAATAAAAAAACTCGCCAATGACTGCCTTGCTTCAGCTAAAATTTTAAATTGACAAAGTAAAAAAAATAAATAATAACAAAAATTCTGAAATCAAAGAAGTTTAAAAGATAATTCGCTCTAGAAATGATGTTTTTCTTTCATTTTTTGAAAGATCATAATTGTTAAAGAACACTATGAAAACATTTTACATCTTAATCAAATATGACTGTGAGAAGGGATTTTGTTACAAATTCAAAACACCATGAAATTGGAGGGAGGGGGGGTAAATTCCATTTTAAAAATGAGAATTTTCGGCAACCTAAATCCATGACTTTTCATGATTTTTTTAAAAAAATAGTTGAAATCATGACATAAATTTTGTTCAATACTGAAATTCATGACTTTCTAGGTGCGTGTATACCCTGTATTTATATAAATAGTTTTTGTTTAAATAGAACCAAATAAAAAAATATTAAATTTTCTCATAAAAAATTTTCTGCTTTTATATTGAAAATTGGAATCTACATTTAATTAAATAAACATAAATATATTACTTTAAAATGTATAGACATAGTTTTCCTGCAAAAATACCTATAATAATGAATAGATGAATGTAAAATGTTCTATAAATGCTTAAAATAAAATACAGCACTAACAAATTCATTTTCTAATTATATTAAAATATGTAATTATATAAATTTTGTAAATATTGAACAAGTTAATGAAACTGTTTCTTAATCTTTTTTATGACACATTATGCCTATATACATACATTGGCCATTTCAACATTGTTTTTAAAAACGGAATATTTTAAACACAATAGTGAGTAATAAATTTTTGACCAAACAAATGCGTGACAATTACATGCACAATTTCAACCTGCTAATTTAAAATTTATTTTAAAATTGAAAGCAAGAAATTTTCAATGTGTAAGACATGATATTAAAACTGATTTGTAGAGCGTAAGAATTTATCACTGTAATAACTCTTTTATTAAAAAAATTACCAGCTTTTAAATATTAAGAGTGTCTTAAGAACCATCATACCCTTTTATATGAAATACAAATCTCGTTCTTGAGAATAAAGTGTCTTATACAGTATCTCTCACTTAGCTATTTTTAAGATTTAAAATAAATTGTGAACAGTAATCCATGATTTGCAGTGCTGATGCAGGATGAAAAGACAAAAATATTGTAGCATTCAGAAGAGGTGAAAAAATAAGATTACTTGGATTGGTCAATTCCTTATAAAAAGTTCCTGTAAAAACCTTTCGGGCCTAAATGTGCAAATTTTGAGAGTAGTATAATGCTTTCAGAACTGTGCCACACCATATCAAAATAATGTTCTTAATTTCATTTTGTAACACATTAGTTGTTCTGATATAGGCCCCATGGCTGAATTTTTTCCGGCTTTCTGCTCTCTCTAATACTAATATGTTTCTGCAAGGTATTTAAAAATAACAAATATACATGTTACTGATTTAAAGTAATAAAAGGTTAACTCCAAAAAAAAATAATAATAAATAAATAAATAAATTAAATAAATAAATAAAAAAAATTGGATCAAATAAAATCATATTTTTAATTGAATATCTATATTTTTTATTCTAATTTTATGAGGATATTCTCGCATTTCGTAGAAAGACAACTAATTTTTTCCTTTTTAGCATTTTGTAATTCAAATTTATGTGAACCCGACTCTTCAAAAAAGGGTTACTTAATGCAGGTTTTCATTTTGTGATTCAGTTGTAATAAATAATATTGTATTTTAAAAGCTATGTGGAAATCAGTAGTAATAACTGCATGAAAAAATATAACAAAAATTTCTACAAAAAAGAAAAACATATTTTTTACTTCATTATTCTCAAATGAGAATAGAAAAATCACAAGCATTTTTTTTCTTTCCCACTCCGATGCGTGAGAAAGGCATTGTTTGAATATAATTCTGAAGAAAAGATAAAATCTTTCGAAAATTTCTGCAGAAAAGAAAAGCAAAACATTTTATTTCCTAAAGGAAAAATCCTTCTGCAAGAACTCGTAATGCTCTGCAACAATGTTGCCACGGGTGTTATAGGTAGGATAAACTAAAATTATAAAACATCTATAGTAATCTGGCATCTATTTAATCTCACTAAATCTGGCATTTTGTCAAATGCCAGCTTTAGTGCACAATTTTGATATAATAAAACATATACACATAAATATTTTGTAAATGGCCACTTTTGAACAATTGACAGTTTTATCCGGTTTTAACCATGGTTTCATCCGTCATATCAAAAAACCCTTTTTGATAAGTGTCAAAACCCCAAAATTTTAGGGATTAATTATAATAAGAATTTATAAATTAACAGACACATAATATTACAAGTGATCAATCAATTATGTTCTTGAACTATTTTGTTTTGACAATTACTGACAAAAACCCGAATTCAGGTGAAGAAAATATGAAATAATTATAAATAAAAATCTGCAAAATACAAAAACATGTGCAAAACACAAATTTATCCAATCTGTTAAATTATTGAAAAAAATATATAAAAAATTGGCTTAGTAAAAAAAAAACAATCATCTTATTCATTATATGTAAAATCAATTTTCATTTACTCTCTTTAGTATTCCAAGTGAATTTTTAAGTTTTGCATGAATAAGACCAAAATTCAAAACCATTCTTTTGATTGATAATGCTGAGCAGCATTGTCTAAAAAACAGACGTACTAAAAGCTATTATAACTAACTACGAAATTCATTCTAATAAATGTACTAAATATTAAAGTAATTTAATTTAAACATTGAATTGATTGATTGAAAAAAAAATTATTAACTCATTTAAACATTTATAAATAATAATTAGTTCATTAAATAAGGAAACTAATTAAGCATTAATATAATTATACTATTAATTCATGAGGTTAAATTGATTAGTTAATTGGAAATATTATTGTACACTATTGAAAGAGTGCAGAAAATTATCAGAGTCTAATATTCCCTAGGAACAAAGTATCTTTTAAAATCAAAATTTCCCCAAAAATTGTAGCTATTTTTTTCTGTTCAAAAAGTTTTCGGAAAATTAAGTTTATGGAAAAAAACATTATTTGATTTTAGACAATTCTTGAATAAATAAATGAACACATGTGTTATAAAATAATAGAAATCTGAAGAAAAAAAATTGAAATAGTAAAGTTTATTAAATTAAATTTAAGGTCCTACTAAGTAACTTAAACAATTTAAACTAATAAATACACTAATTGACAAATGTTTTTTAAGAAAAAGTTTTGCAGAGCAATAAATTTTTTATCAAAGAATTTTTTAGAATTTACTTAGACTTAATTTCCCCATGGCTGCCTGAATTTCCACCAAAGCCTTGTTTGAGCAGTTAGAAATATATATATAAATATATGAAAACAGTTAACTATTTAATATTTTAATTTATTATTGACAAAGATATAGATATATATATACAGTCAATTCGCTATAACTCGAAGTACGATAACTCGAATATTACTATAACTCGATTTTTTTATGTGATCCCGACCCTTTTATCTTCAATTTCATGTTAATTATTCTCGATTACTCGAATTTTACTCCCTTTAACTCGATTTTTTTTTGATCTTTTAAAGCAAGAAAAAAAACCTAGGAGCTGATATCTTGCCCCTTCCTTTGCAAAACACACAAAATGTCTTTCGCACTCTTCATGGGGAAGCTAAAGCTGTCCCTCTTGAAGTATGTGAACAGTGGTTAAATGAAACATTACCAAATTTACTTCAAGGATACAGTGAAAATGATGTTTTCAATATTGATGAAATGGGTTTATTTTTTAAATGTCTTCCAAATAAGACTA